TTTGTGTTCTTACTTTTATTGCAAAACAACAGTTTTCATCGTGTACAAGCATAAGCTGCATGTGAAATCAGGACTTTCAGTATGATATGAAGTTATTTCGTCAAGGAAACTTGATGCACGCCTATATTTTTAGGCATTTTCCCACAGATTTATCGTGCAGCGAACCCCTTTTTATTGTAAGGACCCGCGCCATGACGAAAAGTCTCAGGTTAGGAAAAGACATGATGAAACACTAGGCACTGATCATATGGGAAGTGAAAAGTGCCTTTCAATGCACATATTTTAGATAATTTAGTTGCATCTATTTCCACAAAAACGTATGATTGCAATCTGTTGAAATTTAAATCCGGCTAGTTTAGAATAAAGACAGAGAAGATTGATGAGTATAAGTATCTAAGATAATCAGGATAGAAGATGAATATCTAATTGTGATGTATTTCATTCGCAGCATGTTGACAGACACAGTTTTGTAATAAATCAGAACTGTTTTCCATAACTCGAAAGTTTGCTGGGCTTCAGTGCTTCTGCTGTACAGTCAGGACCTGCTCGTATTGCATTGTGGCCTGTACAACAAGAATCCTAAAGTGTTATGGTTTTCCTCAGTACATACAGGCAGATGACAACATGTCACCTGAAAATATGCCATAACTGTTTCTTCCACATCCATTTGAACTCTTGAATTGTTAATTATCATATAAGTCGAGGGTACATAATCTTAATTGCTCACGGTCACAGTCACTCTACCACGAATAAAATAATTAACTCGTTGTAATTTAAAGAAAACTGTAAATCTAGCTTTGGTTCTTTACTTCCTCCGGGATTAAAGCTGGCTCGTCGCTAGGTAAGGTAAGGTATAATTAGCCCTGTGCTTAATTAAGCACCACGTACGTGGGAGCTACAAGTATTCTTAACCTGGGAAATTTATGGAGATGAACAGACAGCTTCACTCCTCAGCTGCTTTATCCCCTGGGAAGAAGCCCCCGGTGCCCCTTGACTGTGAGGATGGGCCGACATCTGACCCGGTCTGAACTCTGCAGAGAAGTGACAAATCTCTTGCCCTTGCTGGGAACTGAAGCCCGGTTTCCTAGTCGCCCATCCCATAACCTGGTCTATGTAGTGATTGAGCTGGGTAGCTCAGTGTGAGGTTCTCAGTCGGTGTGTGAGTTTTGGCCGGAATTAAGTTACTTGCATTTTGCTGCAATTAAATGTTTCTTATGTTTATTCTTCATTTCCTTTTATCGAATAAACACAGTAGTCGCTCGATTATCCGGTATAGATTTGAAATGAAATTCTCTGGGATAATCACTAAAAGGAATATGAAAGTGACTTGTGAATTGGGATATACGTGTAGAAAGCAACGCATACGTGTGTAAGTGTACTTTACGCGAACCCTCTTTGTAGAAACAGGACTGTCGTTTCTGAAAAGCTCTTCTGCAGATGGAAGAATTATATTAGAACGGACTTTAAACCTTGGGATGGTAGGGCGTGGAATCTATTAATTTGATTCAGAATAGTCATTATTGAGTGCCTTTCTTAGACACAGTAAAGTAATTTCAGTTGCCGTAAAATGGAATAATTTTTCAACTAGCTAAGCAACTAGCTTCTCAAGAAATTCTCTGCTTCATGGATTTGGTTAATTAGTTAGCATGTCGAGCTCTAGAAGGAAGGACAGCCCTGAAGATTAAAAAAAAAAATTGTGTGTTGTATGTGTAAAACCTTTGTGATTTTATTAACCTTATAGAAGAGCATAATTTGTGTAAAGTTTCCATGAACATTGTTTTAAGTGCCCAGTTTTGGGGTCTACTGACCACCAATTACAGTTTGTTTACCGTGATATATTTTGATCAGTTCTGGAACTAGGTATATTAAGGTTTTATCAAAATACCCCTAAATGATATATCGTTATCTTCAAGAAGGAAGTTTTTATACGTAACTTCGCTTACAAATTATTTAAATTATTATTTTTTTAACTACATTGAAATATTTATTTTATTACAGGGTTTCTATGCCTTGAGTTAAAGTTTCAATCTTGCAGAATCCTTATTGTGCATTAAAACCTATTTTCTAAAAATCTATAGTTTACCAATATAATTCAGAGGATTAAAGTTGTATGTTTAGTTATACTGGTCGGTCACAGTGGCCGCGCGGTCTATGTCTTCATCCGCTCGAACACTGGGATCGTAGGTTCGAATCCTACTTAAAGTATGGATATTTGTCTGCGTTTATTTTGTGTTTGTGCAGGTAGTGGTCTTGCGTCGGGCTGATCCCCCGTCCAAGGAGGCCTACCAACTGTCTAAAATAAAAAAAAACCCTGAAGTGAAACAAAGTGTTTCACGGGTGCCCTATACTCAAAGTGGGAGCAACAGGAATAGTTATGCTGAGATAAATGTTAAAGATTAAACTTTTTCCTTGAGCAGTAGGCTTTGTTGTAGGCGCATCTCATTATCCCACATCTATTAATTATCTTCTTGTGTGTATTGATACCTGTTGAGCTTGTTGTTGTGAGAAGTATGGGCGCATGCGTAATGAAATTGAACGGGCTGAACTCTGCCCCGCCGTGCCCGATTGTTATTCCAAGTTCGACTTGGAGCCAGCTATCATGAATATGGGATTTTTGAGTTTATCTAGTTCTCTATGACTGTTAGTTATGCAGTTTTCTTTGACCATCCTATGTAAATAGATATGATAGCTTCATATCCTCGAAATATGACAGAGTTCTTCGTCATGGAGGCTGGTGTTGAGTCATGTCCCTATTTAAAGCGGTTTCCTCCGCAGAGCTTCAGTGTGCGCGATAAACTTGGGACGGACTGCTCTGTTGTTGAGACAGCTAATGTGTTGGACATCAACTTCCGTCTCTCTCTTACTGTGGTGACACCTCTGTCCACTGGGACGGACGGGAGAGTTCCTGCAACCATGTGACACGCCATAATTCAATGAACTTTTAGTCTGTATGCGCCCTGTAAACCACGAACTATCAAATATATAATCAGAGGTCATATTTCGTTTCATGTTTTCTTTTAGCGGTTTAAATTATGGCGTAGAGATCGCTCAAACTTCATTGATTTTACATTTCGCACATAACTACATTTCACTGTTATTAACGCAGACAAAACGTCATATTGCGCTTGCAAATGTATACATTTCTCACTCGGATTTTTCTTAAATAACTTCTAATTAAATATTAAAATCATTCATTTATTATATCACAAATATTAATAAGGTCGTAATTCTTGTAAATACGTGAAAAATAATTCTCCATATATATATCCAGTGAAATTGTAAATGGAAACATGGCGATGTAATATATGACATAAACTTCGTCCTAAGTGCAACAATTTATTGTAGTTCTTTTGTCTTCTTTTCTTCTACACTACATGTTTCGGCCGCATACGGCCATCATCAGGTGTATACTCTCACGTAGCTGCTACACTGCACGTAGTTTAAAATTTAAAAACAATAGTCTTCCCAATTGTTTATTTCGTCGTTGCTAACAGGTTTTGATATATCAGAATCTTCCCCGCTGGTATCTGTCTGATATGTACAAAATCTTTTTTAACCTACACACATAAATTTGATTTTCATAAACTGACACTTTTAAAATCTTCAATTCCAATTTTAAAAATTTCTTTAAATTTTTTTTTTTCAAATTTGAAAATTTAAAATTCTCATGGTTACCCGTCCTATGTCTATAGTGCTGCAGCGGCTACTTCTTGTTTTCAGCACTGTTCAGGTATTATCTGTAATGTACAAATATTCGTATTACTATCTTATGTATGTTATGTTTATACTGTTATTTGTACTTAGTCTGTGTAGGCTCCCTGTCTGCGTTCCGCGATGTAATATCAAAACTGACACACCGAAATTAGCGTCTTGCAAGATACAAACACCGAATTGTTCACTAATTAAATAATCAACGCAGTAACTAACTTCATGGAGCTGAGACCTTTTTGAGAAGCCATTAGTCGCTCAGCTGCTCGAGAATTTCCCCAGATTTAATGGAAACCGAAAGTTCATTACTTTGATCACAGGAATCCGCCACTACTCCCTATCTCGAGCCAGATGAATCCAGTCCATAGCACCCAATCCTATTTCTAGAAAATCAATGTTACTACTATCCTCCAACCTACTTCTAGGATTTCCTGCTATAATAATACACGTTTTATTAAATATTGATGCCAGTAGCGGATGTACATGACGTCACATATCTTCTTTGCCATTTTGGCGCCACTGCATGAAGTGGCTAGTAAATATAAAATACATTAATGTATTTATTAAACGGCATGTGGTACTCTAGAATCCACCACACAGAAAGGATACTGTGAAAAATAAAGATTTTATTTTTCTGTACAGTAAAATCGCAAAGATGCCGCGTTAGAGAGCGCACGCACTGACTGCAGATTGTATTAATTTTGCCGGTAGATGGATCTGCCAGCAGTATTCTACCTGTCGTCAGCCGTCTTAGTTTTTGAAAACTTTTCAGAATATCTTCTCGAAAGCTTTGTTTTCTTTATATATTCCATGTTATGTAGTAACTTGCTTGTGAGCACGCAAAGCGGAGACCCCACTATTACATAATACCAAATGACTAATATTTTCGTCCGTGTTCAAGTTAAACGGTTTCTAATTCGTTTTAACGAGCTTCATTAGCACAGAATGCGATGATACGAGTACAAATTGAGTAATATGGAGAGGGGTAGGCGTTGTAAATTGATAACCTGATATCACCGGAGTGAGCAAGTGTGTGTAACAGAAATATTGTTTTCTGATCTGGGTTCGCACCCGGTAATTCGAACTGGGTATACCATAGTTTACTTCCTGCCCTGCAGGTAGAAGTACAAATTCCACCCTCAAACTTCCCACTACTCATTGTCCCAGAAAGTGACACTGGCAGAAGGCAGTGGGTTGTAATGTGTCTTGTTAGAAAATGTTTGCAACTCTCTTTAACATTTTCCTCTGTCTTCATTACCGAGTCTTACTTGCGCAATTTTAATCACTTTCAGGTCGACCTCGACCGAGGGTCACGTGGTTTCTGGAAAACACTATCATAGACGATTCGTATACACACGAGCCAAACGACATTACGACAAACCACTTGTCGTTCCCGAACATTGGACGACAGCATCTGAACGCTCGACTGATCTGCCAGGCTTCCAACACAAACCTCACGCACGCGCAATCCGAGGTCATCGTTTTGGACGTCAACTGTGAGTACTGTTCGTTACTGTTATTGTTATGAATGTTAATTGCCTAATTATGGGATTTAGTTTTTGGTAAGTTCTCTAATGAACGAATAAAATTATTATTCTTATTTTTGTCATTGTTAATACTTCTGTTGCTGTTGTAATTTACTCGTGCTTGCATTACAATTGGCCGCCAGGCTATGAAGTTGTTAATAGTACGTGGATAAATGAGAAATGAATTATTATGATTACTGTTACTGCTGCTGCTACTACTACTACTACTACTACTACTACTACTACTACTACTACTACTACTACTACTACTACTACTACTATAACAACAACCTCCACCAATAAAAAGGGTAAGTTGTCCCTGTCTTTAACTAATAAATCACTTCGCCATGAAGGCGTATGGGGGAGCGGATGTATAGATCCACACTTTCTTGACCTCGACACTTGTTGGGGATGAGTGGTCAGCTTCACGGCCCGGCCGCTTTACCCACGGAGAAAGATCATCCGGTACCCATTGGATAGGTGGCTGGGTGGGCCACAGAGCCTCTCTGGGCGACGTGGAGATGAGGAAATTCTTGACTTTACCGGGACTCAAACTCCGACTCCTCGGTCGCTATCCCGGCTCCCTCAAACACCAACACCAAAACTGCTACTACATTCGAGATGACATGAATTGTCTTTTGTCTTCGTATTGTAACTTGTTTGGAGTAGATACTTCCATGGTAACGCAATAAGAGTGGGCCGATTCGTAGGAATTGCACAATCAACAAACGCGTTTTCCCAGAGATGGAAGGTTCACTGCGTAGCAACGGCCGCGGGTTAATGCATTCGCCGAGGGTGTCTTGAGATAGTCGCCGTTGAAGAGAGTTAGAACGCCAGAGTTAGCAGACCAGAGTTGGAAGAGTACAGTTAGAAGGTAGCCGCCGCAGAATGCGAGAAGTGATACTAATTGTACTTGGGTGTGTAAGAGTGAGCGTTCAATAAATATTCGCTAAATCCGAGACCCACGTGAAATTATTTGTCGCGCCTCATAGGCAACACGCGACAGCATGTACGCATTTTTGTTCCATTCTGTGAGCTTCCTTATTTTATATTAGCCTGGGGTTATGCATGTATGTAAATAATGTATTAAATTATTGTCGTCATTAATATCGTTATCTTTTCTTTTCGTTGCTGAGTTTTCTGATTTAAAACATATATTTCTTCTCGCTAGAAAGGAAACCAAACCAGTTACGTCCCCAAAATTTTGAATAATACTAGTATCTGTTACATCAAGTAATACAGTGCCCTTGCTTTCTACATTTTCCCTGCTACCTGCTGCTTACTGACTGGGAGACATCGTAGTAGTTATATTGGGAAGTTTGTTAGTGTACTCTCGGCTAGTTATTAGTGTACATAGGGAAGTAAAAGTGATTTGCACATCAGCTCTGTAATACAAGTTTCATGACAACTGCTACGGTCCCCTTTGGCATGGGGTTGGAATAAACAAATGAAAATCTCCACTCAGGGCACTGTTCCTAATACTTGATATAGGGATATCTGAGCGCAAATCGACTTCACCGTAAATAACCTATGGTACTTGCAATTCTCTAATTCGAAATATATTTAAAAACATAATGATCTTCTGTAGTATTAAATGAATATAAGTAAAAGAAAGAAATGTTAAACATGAAGAAAGCAGTCTTCTGGGATTTGGCACCGTGTATATGTGGTGTTAACCGACGTTTCGGAGGAACGTATCGCCTCCATCTTCAGGGTAGAAGAAAGAATATATAAGAAATCTGCAAAGCGAAGAGACCGTGAGAACCGGTAAAAGCAGACTGGAGTACCTCAGTACCTCAGTACTCTCTCTTAAATGACAATTTATTCCTCAGCAGCCTGTTCTCAAACGTAGAACATAGCTGAAAATGATTTAGAATAGAAGAAACTAACTTTTACATATTTTAGAATTCTTGAAGTAAAAGAGAAAATATTTACATGTGTAGAAGAAATTGATAAATATTCTCCTGGGTTGTTCTCTGATCTTCTGAGTTAAAAGCCGTACTAGTATATTCTAGCCTGTGCTAAAATCCAGATTTTATTTCGTAAAATTCTGAATGAAAACCAGCCGACGTGAATATGATACAGAGCTTAAAGCCTTTATGTTAGTATTGTGCAGTTTTACGTGTTCTCCCATCACTCCTTGTAAAGATCCCTGTTTATTATAAACACCTGGACAATCAGTGGCAACCTGCGTGGGTACATTCATCATATTTTTCAGGCACACGAAATTGCCTGTCATCACTGACTATATAAATATACTGTACCTTATGTGCGTATCATCACACAGATAATGCTATTGAGTGGCTTAGAGAACAAAGGTAGGCAGGAACCCGTTGTGTAACATTATGAAACGCCTCGCTCTTAAGGTGCGCTTTTCACGTCTTATGAGAAGAAAAAATCTCTAATATAGATAACATAGTGTTATGACATACTCATAAAGCATCCATTACAAGGAGTATAAAGGCCAGTTCTAAGATTCCATTATATAAACACTGACATTGGAAACAATCTCAGTGTCCAAATACAGTGACCTAAAGTATTCACTTTATCATTTTGCGCCTGCTTTTTGATGCAAATTCAAAAGTACTTTCTAAGTGAAGGAGCCGTGATAGCATAGTCGGTATAGCGACTGGACGACCGAGGGGTCGGATTTCGAGTCTCGGTAGGGGCAAGAATTTTCACTTCTCCACGTCGTCCCGACCTGCTCTGAGATCCACCCAGCCACCTATCCAATGGGTACCGGGGGCTCGTTCTCTGGGGGTAAAGCGGCCGGGGAGTGAAGCTGACGACTCACCTCAAACTAGTGCCGAGCTCAAGTAAATGTGGATCTATATATCTGCTCCCCCATACGTTTTCATGGCGTAGTGCTTAATTGTTAAGCACAAGAACAACTTTACCTTTGCCTTCTACTTCCTACATGTGCCCTGACCACTCTTTTCAGNAAAAACGCACACACACAAACTAAACATCCATGCCCTGAGTGGGATTCGAACCCACGATCCCGGCTTCCGAGCGAGCGAAGGCAGTGCATGCCAAACCACATTTAGACTATTCAAATTGTGCCTTAATGATAGGAACAGCCCCCAAAATTCAAACTGTGTACCATAAGAAGTGTCAGAAAACACCTTTCATTGCTGCAGGTGCAGTCTACATAATAGTAATCATTTAATACAAATGTATAGCCCATATTGTATTAAGGTTAATTGCTGCTTATTTATTCGCATTACTTCGTTTGATTCCCGTGTCAAAATAATCTGTATTACCTTGACTCAGAAATTCGGAGACACCGCATTCGAGTGCGTGTCTTCTATAATTTCTTCTTGTATCTAAGCAAATGCATTCATGAATGACTTTAGAGATTATGCAGTAGGATGACATTGAACCATAATATTATATTGTAGCATCCTGCTGCACTGCATTTAGTATGAAATGGTTTCACAGTCTCACGTGCAGCACGTCCTTCTATGAAACTTAATAAAAGTTACACACAACATATAGATTTTTACTCATTAGAAGTTATTCATTACATATTTCGAACTGTAAGGTCATCTACGGGTGTTTTAAAATTATAAATTATAAATTTTAAGAGGGACGCGCAACATGACGCAACAGACAGACCAGCCGGCCATTTCCAATATACATGCGCATGGAAGGAACCGCGCAGTAACGACCAAAAACCACGAAATGGAAGCAAAGCAGTTTCCTCATTTATAATTTTAAAACACCTGACGTCATAGGTCGAAATATATAGTGAATAACTTTTAACAAGTTAAAGTCTATGTTACGTAGATTCTAAAGGGTTCTGACGGTGGTGCATGACACGCAGAATTACTGGGTTTTGGGGCTTTTTCCATCGTTCGGAATTCTAGGTAATAGAGGACACGACGTTTCGGAAAATGGATCTGGTTTCGTCTTCAGGTGAGAATGGAAGACACCTACTAAGTTGGACCCCTTAGAAAGAACTAATCTCAATCACAGATCTAGTTTCCGAAACGTCGTGTCCTCTATTACCTAGAATTCCGCACGATGGAAAAAGTCCAAAAACCCAGTAATTCTGTCTATATTACGTGTAGAAATTTTAAAATGATTATCTTCTAGTAAGTTTTATAGAAACCCGTATGCTGCATGTGAGACTGTGAAACTAGAAGACTGAAACCAGTATGAACTCTAAATTATCTTTTGAATCTCGACTGTGGGAATATTAGCCCTCTCCTAATGACAAAATATGTGTTCACATGATATTTTTTTTTTGTGTTGAGAGTGAACGACTTTCTTGTCCTGTTACTACTAACAACACTTTTGTACTTGTGTTCATAATACGAGTATACCACGTTTTGTTTATTCTTCATCGAGGTGTTCCATGGTATTCATATATGAAACTGGTATATGTACTTAGAGACATAACTAAATAGAAGTCAAGTGGGATTTGTGGTGGACAAAGTGGCGTTGGGGCAGGTTTTCTCCGAGTACTACGGTTTCCCCTGCCAATCTTCATTCCACCAATTGCTCCACAATCACCCTCACCTATCATCTCTGGCTGGTACAGCAGGTCAGAAGTGGCCGCAGTACAAGGGACATAGTCCCACCCCACTAGCAATAACAAAAATAATACTCATTGAGCTGAGCCTTTCTTGAGGAGCCGCCATTCTACAGCTACTGAAGAATTTCCCAGCATTTTATGGAACCAGAAGGTTCATCACATTGTTCAAAAGAGCCCTCCACTGGTCTCTATCCTGAGCCAGATCAATCCAGTTCATACCGTCCCATCCTATTTCTCTAAGATCTCTTTTAATATTGTCCACCCACCCACGCCTTGGTCATCCCAGTGGTCTCTTTCCTTCTGACTTTCCCACCAATATCCTATATGCATTCCTCGTCTCCCCATTCCTCTACACGCCCTGCCCACGTTATCCTCCTTGACTTGGTAATTCTAATTATACTTGGAGAAGAGTACAAGTTAAGAAGCGCATATACGTACACATATTGGCGACAAAACATCAGTGTTTCTGTGGCAATGACGGCCTGATTCTGAAGTTCTTTCAATAATGAAGTCTGTTTGTAAATTAGTGAAAATTCTGTGCTTGTATGATGGAGTGTAGTCCGAATGAAACTGTAATTTGTTTTACTTTTCTAGTCTACATCATTTAGCCACGTTAATCCTTCAGAGAAAAGTTCCCCAAACTTCCCTATTGAGATGAAAGCAAACAAACTCCGTGTTTCTCTTTATTCTCAGTGAAGCCTGTCGCAGTTCACATCACGACGAAGGACAAACAAGTGTCTGCCGATAAACGTTACGATGTGGAGTGCAGATCCTCTGGGTCGCGACCAGAGGCCATCATTACGTGGTGGAAAAACAGTCGTCAGATAAAACGAGTCACCAAAAACGTAAGTTTCATCATTTGCAGTTTCTGTTATTTTTTTACAATGAAGTATTAATGTATCTGCCATATCCCTTCTGTCTTCCTATTTCGTTTTGGGATGAATTGCATAATCGTAATTGTGCGTTTCCATCATATTTTGAAGTTCTAAACTAAGATATTATTACAATATCTAGCCTTAATTGTTGTGTACCATGGTTGTTGTAATGCATTTTTAATTACAAACAACAGTCACACCATTGTAATAGACTGTGATTCAATTTACGCATTGCGACTTCATAAAGTGATCATCAGTTAATATAATTATAATGTAAAATGGTTAAAATTACGTACAAGTTGTCCTTGTGTTCCATGTGCATTATTTATTAAGAAGCTGTCATTCTTAAGAGATAAATTGTTGTCTAGCTCCCAGTATGAGAACCCTGAACTAATCGATTTTAAAATTCTGAAAACGAGAGTCTAAATGTACGTGTATATCGACTGAGTTAAGTTGTCATAACTTGTTAAAGCATTAAAGGCAGGTAATTTTTAGAAAAGCCGGTCACGGTAGCCGAGCAGGTTAAGGCATGCATTGTCTTCGCTCGCTCGGAAGCCGGGATCGTGCGTCTGTGCGTTTTTCTGTGTTTGTTTACAGGTAGAGGCCTTGCGACGAGCTGATCACCCGCCCAAGGAGTCCTACCGTATGTCTAAGACCTCGTAAACCGAAGTGAAACGTAGAGTTTCATGGAGGTAGGCCTGGGCCCAAATGAGGGTTGTAGCGTCAATGAAAAAAAAATGTTTAGAAATATTCCATATAACATATTTCTCATCCAGGAAGCTTCTAAACAGTTAGTAGATCAGTGAAGGGGGATATTTACAGTAGTAGAACGTGGGTTAAACGTACGATATATGGGTTCTCTCCGGAACTTACCGACGCTGATCCAGACAGATGCTGGACCTTGCTCGCTTACAATTTGTCATGGAGCGCTCACGTCTCGTGAGACGGGATAATCTCAGAGCAGGACTTGCGACGTAGGGATTTGCTCTGACCTCCCAGGCGTCTAGGGTGGATGGATATGAAGAAGAGTGTTTGTTAGCAACGAAGTTCTTAAACGCAGTTTATTTCAAATGTATTTGTACTGGTCATACATAAGGTGATGTAATTGTCTAGCATGTTGTATAATTCAACATAACATCTAAATTTAAAGAGAAATTACCTCATAACCACGAATTTGTGAAAAAAGAGGGACCAGCAGACTATGGCTTTTTCAGAGTTAACAGTAATAAGAGCCTTATCAGTGAAATTTGAAGATATTATTGCAATTAAAGTAAAATTAAGTAAAGAGTATGGAAGTCCAAGCTACCGTGATTGTTTTTAAGGGTCCAATTCGTTTTAGAATTCTTCGGAAATACTTGAAACAATAATTATGTTTAACAGGTTTGTGCTGGTTGAATTGCGCAAATAGTAATATTTTTTCTCAAGTCATGAAGGTTCCCAAAGTTCATTGATGTGAAGCATCAAGTAGCCTTAAACACTTCACCGTACCTCGTAAGAAAAATTATGGAAACTTGAGCCATTTAACGCGTTTATCAAACATTTCAGGCGTCTTCGACTTTATACACATAATCGCAGGTGTCCTTCGAATTATATCTCATTTGCTTTTGTTGTTTGAAATCTGTCATTTCCTTGAGAAACTTAGAATGACACACTCAAGGCCTTCCTTGTTAAGCCTGTGATTTCTCGAAATTAAATGGAGTTGGTATATGCCATGTATATTCGATACTTTTAATGACCTGTCATTTCGTTCATTTTTTAAGTGCCTTGATTCATTACGAATAACAAATTGTGACATATATATTTTCTATAAGTGATTACTTTAAATTAGCATTACCATAAAATGCAGGAATGAAGGAACAAATTACGTCTAGGTTGTCCTTATGCCTAATTAAATATCACACCATGAAGACATGTGGGGAAATGACTTTCCATTTGGTGCACATGTTGCAAACCTCGGATGTAAAATGAGTTGACTGGTCAGCTTGGATGGGATTGAGCCGGTTTAAGCTCACTTTGAAGAGGAGGAGAATTCTCCCTCTTCCGGATTTCCTGGGCTTCCATCCTACTTGTATGTCCTAATCACCATGCTGAGTTGAATACTTAGCCTCTAAAGGCGCGCCCACATTACTCGTGCTCGTGCGACCCGCTATGCTCGCGAGTAATGTGGGCGATATTACAAGTCACGAGACAAGCAAATTTTTAATTTTTAATTTAGAAACTATAGCCAATAAATTAAAATACGACTATGGCCTATACACACTACGAGTAAATATACGGATCCTCACGCGCCGAAGCCTGGCGAGCAACTGAAGGAGTAATGTGGACGCGCCATAAAGGACAAACTAATAATAAGAAACTATAAATATAATTACTCCTTAACAGGAACTCGCACGAAAGGCACAATTATTAAACGTTTCTTTTATATATAATTTTAAAAAGGCATGAAACACATGAACTGTGCTAGAAGTGCATTCTCAGGAACATTATGTATCTTATGATATTTAAAATAGTATGCCCGTAATACTTTCGAGTCTGTAAAAATTAATTGAAATTGCTTCGGAAGAAACCGTTAAAGACCAAGTAGGATTTTACATAATCCAGGCACAAGTTTTGAATTATTTACCATGAGAACAGGCAACATTTGAAGGCAGAAAATAACTTGCATCTGATTCTGGCATCCTTCGACATTTTCCTCTTACCCGAGTAAAGGATAAAGTACATTTTTATTGCTATAATTTTTTTTTTGGCGAATAACATTTTTATCCATATATACTATGTTGACTATTCACAGTGTAATATAATTTCAAAATTCCTTTATATAGCATAACAATTTTGTCGTAAGTATTTCTGTGCTTTCGGTAAAAGACAAAGATAAGGTAAAAATAATTTGTTGTTTTGTACAACAAAAGGTATGTTTTAAAACATATAAGAACTCAAGAGAGAAAAAAATAATTATATCTCTTTGTTGAAAAAATATGAGCTTGAAATATAAGGTTTACTGAATATGGTAACATACAGCAGAGGAATCCTAAATGCACATTTCTGAATACAACGAATAAGGCTGAAATAACACACACGAAATATAAAAAGATCCAAATCCGTTACAGTCAGATGAGCTTCCTGGAAACAGTACTGCAGTGGAATGTAACCCAAAAAGCGTAAGAATGAAGAATTTTATACTTCAGTCTCAATACGTAATAATAATTTGTTTAAATTTAAACTTACGATTATTTGTAGTACATACGTACTTAATACTGCAACTGGTACTACGTAAAATTTAATTTGATTACTATGAACAGCAAAGTATTATAGCGGTATATAAGACTTGAGGCTTTCACGACAGTGGCTATGAAGAATGCCGTCTTCTGGGATGTGACGCCGTGTAAATATTGCATAAGCAGACGTTTCGGAGGAACATAACTCCTCCAGTCTGAAGCCACTTGCTTACGCCGGTTCCTCGTTCGCTGATATTTTATTTTCTACCATGTAGATGGAGGCGGTACATTCCTCCAAAACGTTGGTGCATGCAATATCTACACGGCGTCACATCCCAGAACATAGCATTCTTCTATTATGGTGGTATTATGAAATTACCTTGAAGCGGCATTTCAACGAAATGTCACCATTAGTCTTGAGACCAGGCAGTGCTGACTTTATTTGTCCTCATGTAAATTTCAACAAAACAAAATTTAATATAATTATGTTACTAATTTGCCATTCATGTATTGCTTCAGATATGAGTTCTATTACTCTTTCTACTGTTGTAATTTACAGTGTAGCATTGTCTTATTTCTTGATTTGTTTTTTATTGTGTCTAAATTAACTAAAGGCAATGTAAAGCTATCCCTGCAACAGACCGTGAAGACCCATAGGGTTGTGAGATGTTGAGGCTCCCACATTTTCTCTAGACAATCGGTTCATAGATGGCGGTGAAGTTGTCAGCCTTACGCGCCGGCCGCCCTTTACCCCCAAGAATATTCCTGGTACTCATTTCTGTTAGAGACTAAGTCGACTCCATGACCATAGTGCGGCTGAAAGGTTTAGATAAATTGAAAAATGCAGTGACCTCATCGGTAATCTAACCCGTGACCTTCTGGCGTGTAGCGTAGTGCCTCAACCAACTACGCTACCGCATGCCCCCTTATAGATGGGGTAAGAAGTATAAAGAACAATACACGTATATCTTTCATATGTTAACTGATAGTTTCTAAGAGAACGAATTGAATATAGTGAAAGTTTATGGAACTGTGTTTGAATATTGACTGCGCTAACGTAACACCAGTGACAGTACAGTTTCTTCTGAAGACTTCTTCCCCTTTGCTGTCAGAGTGACTGCCTGTGTACAATCTGTCAGTGGCTTCTTTAGTTTCATCTCCTGGATTTCGTTGAACTTGTCAGAGAATGACCTATAATTTTTGGACTTTTATGGGCAGGGATTTTGTATAACTAGTGGCATTCGAATTGCAAATTTCGATCATTTTATACTTGGACCAGACAGATCAAGGTAAATCAGTAGTAAGTACGTAAGTATATAAGATTTGAGGTTTTCACGGCGGTGACTATGAAGAAAGCCGTCTTCTGGGATGTGGCTCCATGTGGATGTGAGTTTATTTCCAACATTAGTCTGCTTGCACCTGCTCTCACTGTTTCTTCGCTTGCGGAGTTTCTTATTTTTTCCTTATACCCTGAAGATGGACGCGATACGTTCATCCGAAACGTAGTTTAATACCATATCTACATGGCGCCACGTCACAGAAGACTGCTTTCTTCGGTAGGAAGTAGATTGAAATTTTCAGGGGATGATAGTTTTCTATACAATACGAATGTGCAAGCGACGCAAAAAAAAAATAAATTTATTTTCTTTGTGGTAATTACTTCCCACGCACATTTTGAAACATCTTGTGTCAGAGATAACGCGAAATATTAACAAATTAGCACAGTAAGTAATTAAGAATACGGGGGTTTAGGTT